AGGGCAGCTCACAAAAGCCAAGAAAGAGAATCATTTAACACGAAAATCGGATTATGAAGCTCATACGAAGCAAGTCAATATCCTTGTATATTTCACATATATATATATATATCATGGAAAGGAGAAGAAGGACACCACTTCGATTTGGTGAATTGTCAATGCAACAACAATTGAAAATCATTTGAAACCTTTCAAATGTCACACAAAAGAAATTGATTTCACTTCTCCGTATTCTCTTCATCTTTTTGCTGCTTCTCGGTTGCCATGCGATTGGATTTAAATTTACACCAGGATACTTGGCAGTACGGAAGGCATTGACGTCATCATCATTGTGACATCTTGGTCAAGAGCTCTGCATAAAATATGCATGACGAAACGGGGCGTCTCTATATCGCAGATATGTATATAAAATTGAACATTCCCCAAGGATATTGGCTCAAAACGCTGAGGCATCTGCCCTGAAAAGTAGGCAATAAGAAGTGCGCCCAAGTGTCCCCAGGTTGTCAGTTCAAAGGAACATGCTAGCCTGCTAAAGAATAATGAGCTTACCACAGCTATCCCCCAAAAAATATATAGCTGACCCACCTTTGACCCCTTCGAATGCTTTTGGGGCCAGCACTTCCAGCACATTAACCCCCGAACGGGCTTAACTAATTCCCTTTCGACTCGGCAATTCAATTAGCAGTAAGTCCATGGACACACTCTCACACCCACGAAGCAGCCCAAACAAAAAAAGGGACGTTTTAATCGAATTTATGTGGGACACAGCGGACAGGGGGACAGTTAATAGTTCTGCTTTTGGCCCAACAAAAGGCTTACCTCAAGCCAGTTAGCCAGCCAGCCAGCCAGCCGTGGGCGGATTTATCTATTCTATTTTGTAATTTTTAATTTCACAACTAATGCGATTATTCACGGCTGACGGACCAGGCTGGCAATAAAAATGGCCAGTGTGTAAGCCACGTTTAACACTCGGTTTATTTTTAGTTAGCGAAACGCTTTCTCTCTTCCATTCCTCCTTCTCGTCCTTTTGCGAATACGGCGAAACTATTCGCACACGAGCTCTCTCTAAGCTTAAACTTTAATCCCTCCAATTGTTGCCAAAAAAGAAGGATCATCGAAGACTTGGCACCCTTTTTTAGGCGGTTTGAATGATATGAAATAATAGAGTTCGAGACATAGTTTTAGAAATGTACTCAAAACTATTGTATAAATAATTTTTGGCAGATCATATATATAATGATAATATTATGTTACATATTTACAAAGATTTAACCAATCAAATGTTTGAAAATAAGACAGCTCAACAATTTTTTTTGGAAATTCTAGCAAAATTATTAGTCCTACTAAACATTTTATTACGTTTTGAAAGCTTGAATCACTTAATACATGCTCAAATTTATTGGAATACTTTATATTAATCAGTATATAAATATTTTTCTGTATCGATGGCTCTTCTGAAAAATCCTACTATAACCATTACAGCCAGCATTCCATGTGTAAGCTCATTTGGGTGGGCGGAAAACTTGTCACCGAATGCAGTGAGGCGTGGAAATCTCATGGAAAAATGTGAAAAAATTGCAAAAGTCCGGCAGAAAAACAGAACTCAACTGGGAGTCAAGGCGTACTCAGTGTCTCCAGAAGGGGGACTTAAAGCTCTGCGGCGTGCCCATTCTTGGTTATGAGCGCTTAAAGTCGTCCAACCCACGCTTAACATTTAATTAAAAATTTTGTAATTACCGCCCGGGAAGTGGGTTTGTCTTGCTCTGCTCCGCTTCCATTTCGCTTTGCCGCCAGGCAAAGATGCAGCTGTCTCCTTACTCCTTGTTCCTTGGCACACTTGCATCTCCAAGGATGTGGACCCACTTTCTCCCGCCGTTTTGTTTGTCTTGGAGGAGCGATTCACACCCCAGTGGTTTGGAGGATGGCTCCTTACTGTTATTGCCATGAACTTGCCAGCTGACTCTGCTGCTCTCCATCTCAACCTAATTGATAAATGTAAACTCCTTAGTGGTTCCATGTCCCGAAACGAACCCTCAACCTGGCCATTGTCGTTAGCAAGCTCCAAGATTTCGGCCATTCATTTGTTGCATTGTCTTGGGAACTCTGGCAAGTCGAAGTCTCTCGGGCCAAGTTGCAGAAAATCCTTCGGTTTTAATATGATCCCTGCTATTCTACGCATTTTTCCTAAAATTCCATTGTGTTTCTGCACGTGCCAAAATGTGTGTGTGTGGGTGTGGGCGGGGGGCGTGGCATCAAAGTGCATGCAAAATACGTGACATGCATATTGAAGTCACTTACTATTTATTTTTATTACGCAAAGCAGCACAAACTTTTTACACATATTTTTCCCTTAGTTTTCCTTTTGTTGTGGCAACTTTCCCGGAAAGGTAGCAAAGGCAACAGCTGAATAAAGGGGCGCAGAAACTTCACCAGCTCCGCCTGACATGTTAAATAAATGGCAGAAACTGTCAGAGGAGAGTAAGAATTTTTTGTTCGTATTTCACCTTAACCTTCATTGAAACTTGACTATATTCAGGATACCACATTTTCTTGTACAGGTGCTTGTTAAATTTTACAAAACGTGTAACGCACACCATTGGCTTAAAAAAAGGTATTATATTTTTTCTATAGCTTTAAAAATATTATTTTTCTTTAAACACTAAATAGTTTTGCTAAATATAAAGTTTCGTTTACATATTCCACAGACAGTTTAATTTTAAAATTAATACTGAAAATCAATACCGTTAATCATAGAGTATATTTATATGGGTATATTGTATTCGTTGGAAAGTATGAAAGAAAAGACGTTCCAACCCCATAAGGTATAAATATTCTTGATCAGGATTACTCCCCGTCTATGATAAAACTGTGTTCTCGAAAACTATAAGAACTAGAATGTTGGGATTAAATATTCAAATTCTAGGGTTCCTCCATAACGAAAGTCTTTTATCCCATATTTTTACGATTTTGTTAAAATGTGTTAAGTGTTTATGGATGCCAAGAATTGATTACTTGGATTACAAAGCTATACCCAATACCAGTTTCCACCGCTAGGTGTCGCCCACATTTTTGAAAGATTATCTCATATCCTGTATATTTCAGCTACCATAGGACCCATAGAATGAAAAAGGTATACATTTTATGTTTTTCAAGATATTTCCCTGTATATCATTGTTAAATTTTGATTATTTAATATTTAACTTATTTCATTCACATTTTAACTCTTAACATCTGCGAGGGTATTAAAACTTCGACTTGCCGAAGCTAGCTTCCATTCTCATTTATAATTAAAACCACATTTTTCCGTGAGACTTTCTAGTGCTAAGCTGTGATTTATATGCCTGCCAAATGGGCCAAAAACATTCAATAATGAATATGGCCCATGCCTAATTAGCGTTGCAGCTCACCTATCTGAAATCAACATGATCAAATTTCTCCCAAATTAGGGCAAAATCGGGCACCATGGAAATGCGAAATTTTCATTAAACGTCAAAAATTGATGGGCTGAAAAATAGCACCGCAATTATGCAGCGGGACTTGACAGGAATGGAAGCGACAGGCCGGGTCAGCCGAGGACACAGTTTAGCACCTAGCGATGACCATAAAAATTTGTAATTTTCCCCAACACATATTTCCTTTTTGGCAACCGGCCAAAGTATGCAGGGTGAAAAGAAAGAAAGCAAACCAAAAAAAAAATTCGTTCAGGCCGTAAATAACCAAAGTAAACAACGCGACAAGCGGTTTGTTGGGAAAAGAGCAGACAAAGTCCCGGCCGCAAAAGCCAAAAACTCACTGCGAATGTGAATATTCTTGGAATTTTCATTTGTTGTCTAGAGTTGCATGGGGTTGCATAGTTAGGAATGCCTTTTCCCCAAAACCAAACCGAACCAGACCATCTAGCGCCCCTCCTGTCAACGCAATTTGTCGCTTTGTGTTGCTCCTGCCGCTGCAGTTGTCGCTTCATTTTTGCAGCAAAAGTGTTGCAAAATATGTTGACAGGAAATGTTATGCGAATTTCACTGCGTATAAAATGAAATTTACGTGGGCCCCGCTCTTTGTGTTTAGTTTTGCCGGCATAACTTTGCAACTTGGCCTTTAAAATGTGTAAAAAAAAGGTAATTCTCGACTGGCGTCATTGAAAATTCAAATCAATCACTGGTCCCGAGATCAATCTGGTGTTGTTACAGTTCCGAGTTTTGAGACTCAATTAAATGCACGACAGATCGTATATCCATCAGTTTAATATTGTTTATATATCCAGTAACCAGTTATTCGCAATTAATTAGTTAGCTAGATACAGATAAGCTGGTGGCCCCATAAATTACCCGCAAGCCAGTCTCTATAAAATTCAGAACTGCTTTTCTCCGGCTAACAGTTTGTTGTGAAGTGCTTACTGTGAAGGGGAAGCACATGTCCATTTTCATCTTGAAACAGATTCTGCGAGTTATTAGATAATGTTCAGGCTAGGGTTGTTAATCATCTTGGCTGCCATCGTGGTTTTCGCCCAGGTAATTTCATCTTGAAAACAGGTTTATAAGGCAGAAGTAACCCTATTTATTCCATTATCAGAGTATTCCCTTTCTCGAGGAGAGCAACACGGTGGCAGAATGTCTGGCCTCCAATAATATCACCCAGGCCGAGTTCCAGGAACTCATAGAACGCAGTTCCGAAGAGGATGATCTCGAGAACACGGAGAGAAGATACAAATGTTTCGTCCACTGCCTGGCTAAAAAGGGAAATCTTCTGGATTCAAATGGTTACTTGGATGTGGAAAAGATTGACCAAATCGAACCTGTCACCGATGATCTCCGCGAAGTTCTCTACGACTGCAAGAAAATGCATGATGATGAGCAAGATTTGTGTGAATATGCTTTTAAGATGGTGACTTGTCTGACGGATAACTTGGAGCAGAGCGACGAGGTCACCGAAGCGGAGAAAAATACAAACAAATTAAATGAATAATCGAGCAAAAACTGGTTAAGCAACTTAAAAGCAATTGTTTTGCGCCGATGGAAAATTCACAAGCAACTGTTTAGTTTCATTTCTACAATGTTCATCTACAGACTTGTCTTTATTGCGCCTCTGATATTTGTTTTGATCGGAATAGTTAAGGTGGGATTGACTTATTTACCTAGACATTTTTATGGGTATTTAATAATGTTATTTTAAAGGCTCGGCATCCCTTCGACATTTTCCATTGGAATTCTAAAGATTTTGAGGAGTGTCTGCATGATAATAATATTACCATATCGGAATACGAAAAATACGCGCGGTTCGAGACTCTGGATTATCTACTTAACGAGAATGTGGACCTTAGGTACAAGTGTAATATTAAATGCCAGCTGGAAAGGGATTCCACGAAATGGTTTAATGATGAAGGTAAAATGGATCTGGAACTGATGAAAACCACTAATAAGGCAGGGGAATTTATTACCAAGTGCATGGATGAGGCTTCCGAAGAACCTTGTGCGTACAGCTTCAAACTGGTGATTTGTGCTTTTATGGCCGGTCATCCCCGATCCGTTAATAGTTATTAATCCATAAATAGATATATATCAGTATGTGATATTAAGACAGTGATTTGAGATAGTTAACAGTGAAAATCTTACGAAGTTTCAGGAGAATATTGACTTACTGTTAAGCAAGTAAAGCCTATCCGAAAACAAACACTTTAAGCAAGTGGAAAATTTTGCACTACCTATTAAATTTAGGCTTACAAATAATTACCGCTTCTGATATTGATTTTTAGCACAGTGTGAACAATACCTTTTCCCAGAATATAAATCATGTTTAAATTGTGTGCAAATTAAATCAAGAAAAAATATAGATGAGTAGCTTATTTCATAACTAGTTTATTTCACAACTACTTCCGATAATTAATATGTAAAATCTCACGGAACTGTAGGAGCAAATTATAAAGAGAGTATAATTAAATCTACAAGTATAATTGTGAAAAACTGGTTTATCAAGTAAAAAGAAATTGTTTTTCTAAAGGTGGAAAATTCTCCAGGAACTGTTCAGTTTGATTTTAACAATGTTCATTAACACACTTCAAATTTTCGCGCTCCTCATCTGGGCTTCGATCTGCAAGGCAAATGTGAGATAATCCAACTGAATGGTACTTAATTCTTGGGATTATAAATCAATTCTTCTCAGGAGAGTCATCCCTTTGACTTTTTTGAAGGAACCCTTGACGATTTTGATGATTGTCTGCAAGTAAATAATGTTACGATTGAGGAGTATGAGAAGTTTGAAGAGCCTGGAAACTTGGATAATCTCCTGAGCGAAAATGTGGAATTGAAATTCAAGTGCAATATAAAATGTCAGCTGGAGAGGGAGCCTACACAATGGCTGAATGATCTGGGTAAAGTTGATCTGGTTGCAATGAATGCCACCAAGGAGGCTGGGAAATCCATTACCAAGTGCCTGGATCAGGCCTCTGAGGAACCCTGTGCCTATGCCTTTAAATTGGTTATATGTGCTTTTAAGTCAGGACATTCCGTTTTCCAATACGAATCATATGATCATATTCTAGAGGAAACCTCTGAACTGGCAGCTGAACAACAGGCGGAGCTAGACGAATTCGATATCATAGATGTTGTTTGAAACATATTTGCATTCGCTTATGTACTTATATCTATATGCACTTCCTATATTTTCCTGTACATGCATAAAATTAACACTGTCGCCATAGTCGGTCAGGGCAATAAATTTTAATTAGAAAAATAAAAAAATTAATTAACAAGCCCGTTGCATTTGCGGACTGATTAGCATAATTAAATGAAATTGCATGAGGCGTGCCACAGGGCGTTTGAATCAAATCAAACCGATTCGAATGGAATCCAATTAATTGCTTTGGCCTGGAATCACGCAGCAGGTTAGCGCACATAACACAAATAATTGATTTGTCGCACATCAGGTGGATAAGTGCTGGCTGATACCTGATGATAAGTAGGGTTTGGCCATATATCTCGGGCACTGCCTCCGATTTGGCAGATGTGTGTTTGTGTTCTTTTGTCGTCCTCGAGCAGGAAAAAACATTTTTCCGAGCACAATGCGATTCCGTTACAGTTTTCCACGGGGCCCATGAGTGTTTGTGTTTGTGTGTGCGACTTTTTGTCGCTTTCCTTTGTGCCGGCAGGCGAATGCAACGGAAGTTGTCATGTTGCATTGTTGCAGCTGCTGCTGTTGATGCCGCTGCCATTGTTATGCTGCATGAAGGGTGGTGGTTCAGGATCGGGGATCGAGAATCGGCTGAAAGAAAAGACGAACGTGCAACGCCCACACACTTGACTGGCCCGCTCTGCCACCTCTCGGCTTTCGATTGTCAGCTCAACTACGCGCCGCCGAGGGGCGTGGCACATTAGTGGCAACAGCATGGCAAAAAAAAAAAAAAGGAATAAAAAAAAAAACAAGAGAACAGAAAAACCAGCGAATACATGATTGTCAACACGCACACCCTTTCCACCAACCGGGGCAGCAACAACACGGCGTATGAGTAATATGTCTGGCTGCCTCGCTGGCGGTGCCTGCACCATGTCAACATGCAAAACAACAATGGGGCGGAAGTGCATTGTAAACGTACCGTGCACTGCACCCCAAAAACTTCCACCCCCCCCACTTACCGCCAGAATTTCCATCTCCCCATGGGCGAGTGCAATTATAATTTTGTAAATCGACGGAAGTTCGGATAAACATACGCAAAACGTTTGCCCGAAAATGATGAAAAAATGGTGAACATGGTTTCGCCTCAGGGTAATGCGGTCCTGGTTTGATGGCGAAAAATGTAAAAAGTAGGGATGGATACTCATTGCGTGTACCGGGGTTACGGGAAATTAAAAGTGATTAAAAATAAGTCTTCGTCTTATACATATTTTGATTTTTAAATACTACCTTAGGGAAAGCATGTACTGTAAATTATGGTAAAATAATATTTTCTCTTAATATTTTATTATATGTTATGTATTATGTAATGAAAATTAAAAGTGATTAAAAATAAATGTTCATCTTAGTCTTACAATTTTAAATATTACCGTAGGTTAAGCATATACCGTAAATGGTGGTAAAAAACCTTTTCTTTTAAAATTGTATATTGTATTTATTATGTGTTAAAAAGACACAAAATATAAAAAATATTAGGTGAAAAATATAATGTTTTTAAATTTTTCAATTTCCTTAAATATTGTAGTATTCCATGAATAATAAAAGATGAAAGATCACTAAAACCGCCTGGATATACCTTTTATAGGTATTGTATAAAATGAGAGGTATTATATCAAAACTAAATCTATCTTAAAAATCATGAATATATTTTGGAGTATCCTATGGATAACAAAAGGTATAACATTAATAAAACTGCTTGTGTACAACATTTATACAAAATTGAACAGCTTTGAACCACAGGTGTAAAACAAAATCTAGTTTAAGATCTTGAATAATAATTATGCATTTTTGCTTGTAAGATCCAATAAGTTGTCTTTGAAATTTCTCTATTATTTGTAACTTTCTTTGTACAATTCCAAGAAGCCAAATAGATAAATTTCCTTTTCATATTTCTCTGGTCTTATCATAAGCAGTTGCTGCTTAAAGATAGGGCCCCACCTCCCTGTCCAAAAAGCAATCTAATCACATCCCCCAACCCCTGGCACACATGCCAAAAATTAAATTCAACGAGCAAACTTACACTGCGCTGCATACTTCAGCAACTGCCAATAAAGTGCTTGGCGTGAAGCAGCCAAAACAAAAAAAAGCTCAGAAAAAAGCGAGGAAAACTTATACTTTTTCGCCCCCCTGCCTTCAGCTTATGCCGCGCTACACTTTCTGTTGCTTCGAGTGCGCTTATCAAAAGACACACAAGGCACTGACATGCATCCAAAAAAAAAGGAGAAAAATTGAAGGGGTTGGGATTGGAATGGTAAGGGAATGGAATGGTAGGGAAAAGCAGAGGGATGGAAAGGCGACGAAGCGGAGCGCGTAAGTTTTCCAGTTTTTCTGCAGCGTCTTTACTTTGGGAGGAAAGGGGGTGGAAGGACTCTTTGCAAGTTCTGCATATGACTGCAGGCACGTCTTGAAGGCCCCGCACACTTCCCCGATCCTCCATGTAAGTGATGGGTGTAGGTGTGCGAGTGTAAGTTGATTTATGCCACTTTGTATACTCAGCATGCGTATGGGTATCCATACACTGAAATAAGAGACATGGTTTAGAAAAAGGAAAATCCACGAAATCTAATAATTGTTTTTGTCCAAACCCGCCATATTTAGAAAATATAACATTTACTTAGAAAATATTTCAACTACTTTTTAGTGCGAGGAGTTGCAACGTAGGTTTTCAAAAACCCCTACAAGGCTGTCTAAAAGTATGAAACAAAATATTTTTAACTCGGATGTCCAACAAGTTCATATTGAAAGTTACCTTTTTTTAAAAGCATACTTTTAGGAGTGTTTATAAATATTTTCGAAACATTAGGGATTTGTATGGCACCCACCTATATTATTATTTTCTTTGCATCACAATCAATGGGAGTGCCACTAAGGGGATCTAAAAGTATGCATGATTTCATTGTACTTCTGAGTTTAAAATATATTGTTGCATACTTTTAGACACCTTAAAAGACATTAAAAGGGTTTTTCGTTAAATATTTCAGTTTTGATGGTTTTTATAAACGAATTGCTCTATAGAGTGGCAGCTTAATCTAATCCGCCTAATCAATGAAAGGGGATTTCAAAGCCGTACTGATTTTTGAGGCTCAACCCAATAACTTACTTTTATAAATTTTTCTGCAGTGTATTGACTGTCTGTCTGTTTGTTGGCCTGTGTGTGTGCGGGTCTGCTGCATAAATGATTTATGGCCAACGCTCGCGACAGTTTCGTTTCGCTTTCGTTTGCAGAGAGTGCAACAAAGGAGCCGCAGAGACGCAGATAGCCCGAGTGGAAACTGTCGCATAATAAATAATTATAATTGTATTTTTCTTTCCTTCTTCCTGGATGGTTTTGCACGGCTCTTTGTCTTTTGGCTTTTCCCCCGAAGGTGCCACACACGCGCACACACATTAATAAAATTTATAAATATTTAAGTTGAGCTAAAGGTGACTGGTGAGTGGAAGTGCGGGTAATTGAAGCCGCCGCAGATGTTAACCAGGTGTTTTCCGGAGCTGGGACATCGGATAATGGGTCAATTGGGAGGGACAATCCTGAGCAGCCTACCGCAGGATCAACTATGTATTTTGGCCAGGCAACCGCTCCGCAACTCAACGATTGTGGGTCAAAGAGACAACAACGGGCCAGCATCCGGAAACTTCAAAGTTTGAGCTTCCTGCTTAGCCACCCAAAAATCTTCGCTTCCCCAGTTGTTGGCCTTTTTTCTGCTTTGTCATGAAAGCGAAATGCGCTTACAGGAAACGGGAAGTGCGCCTCATGCAACATTTATGGAGGGTCCAACACTCCAGGCCCCCTAAAAAATAGACAAAACCGAACAATAGGTCGCCGAAACAAAAAGATACACCAGAAGAGAATTTGACGCGTTAAAAATTGTCACAGAGTGCAAATAGAAAATGAAATTGAAATGCCTCGCAGAGATTTAATTAAATTTCTGGCCAGTCGAGACAAACAACGAGTGGCCAAAAAATGCCCACAAACACCCAACACATAGATTCACAAATAGAAATAAAATTGTGTGTATATGGACTTTTGTTAGCCTGGTATAAATATTTGAAAAATCTTCGCACATAAATAATTTTATTTAAACTGCATACATAATTTGCAGTAGGCAAATCAGTAAATATTTCAATATCACCAGCTTTGAATGGGATTTTCCCCACACCGACACTATGCCAATCAACAAACATCTTTTTCGTAGACATCTCTGAATGATTCAATGGTGGTCGGCAACAAACGAATTTCTTCTGCCAATCGAAGTTTGCATTTTCTATCATTGAAAGCTGATGCAAAATGATTTCGTTTATTTGTTCAACTTGATTTCTGGAGTATTAAATTCTTGCCTCTCTCTGGCCAAATAATAGTGAAAGTCAGCAAGAAAATATTCCAGTAAAATATAAAATAAATATTTTGAGAATGTACAAACGAATACGTTTTGGTTTTTTCGAATGGTCTTAGATTACTGTAAAGAATGCGTGTTTCGATTTATTAAATTCACTTCATAGTTACAGTATAACATAAAGGGTTATACTGTATTAAGCAAAAGAAATTTAAGTCAACTGTTGACTCCATTCATCATCTAACTTAAATATGCCTTTTGACTGAAGCTCAATAAGTCGAGCAATCCGTTTCTATGAATTTAATATGCCTGCGGCCTCGCCATGGGCACGGAATATTTAATAAAAACCAATAAACGTTAAAAGCCTTTTCCAGGGGGCCGTGGCCATAAGCCACCTGCCAAACCAGGTCGACCATGGCCAACTGACCACGATCCTCGGCCACGATGGTCCCGCCCCCCTTGTTGATGTTCCTTTTCCCCTTCGAGGCTGGCTATGCGCCCGATTAAATGCATTTAAATGTGTTTTCGTCATAATTATGCATATGCAAACATGACTCGACCAGTGGCCACTCTATCGTTGAATGCCCCCCCTTTTCACCAAACCCCCTTCGATTGGCCATAGCCACGGCCATATGCCATGTCCTGGGTTTTCCGGCAGCTTAAGTGCTTTAATGGCTTTAATTATGTTGCATGCAATTATTGTCCATGTCCCGGCAAGAGTGATCTTCATCATCGGCTTAATAATGATGCCGATGCTGCTGTTCGGAAGCTTTTGGCCACGA